AAGGATGACGGGCATGCGATGGAAGTGCAAGGTGCTGCTCGAAAATGAATTCATCGCAGAAGCAGTCGGAGTGAAGAAATCTGTCAAGCATGAGGCAGCAGAGGAAGCTGTGAAAATCCTCAAAAAGACTCAGCCAACTGTTGTTAACAATCTGAAAAAAGGCACCGTTGAAGACGTCATCTCCAGAAATGAGATCCGGGGGCGATCGGCAGAGGATGCTTTGAAACAGAAAATCAAAGAAGATAACATTGGGAATCAAATCTTAAGAAAGATGGGCTGGAAGGGTGGTGGCCTCGGGAAGGATGGCGAAGGAATTAGAGAACCTATTTCAGTGAAGGAGCAGTTTAAAAGGGAAGGGCTGGGGCTGGATGTGGAGAGGGTAAATAAAATCGCTAAAAGAGACATTGAGCAGATCATTCGAAACTATGCCCACTCAGACAGTCACGTCGACTTGACATTCTCTACAGAACTGACCAACGATGAACGGAAGCAGATCCATCAGATTGCCCAAAAATATGGTCTCAAAAGTAAATCTCATGGCCAGGGCCATGACAGGTACTTGGTGGTAAGCAGAAAGCGGCGCAAGGAGGATCTGTTGGACCAGCTGAAGCAAGAAGGCCACGTTGGGCATTATGAGCTTATCATGCCTCAAGCAAATTGAGGTTCACTGCCCGATTTTACTGGTGAAAATTACAAAAGACATTTCTAGATACCTGGTTGAAGAAAGAGATGCTGCATTTCTTGTTGCGTGATACGTTAACGTTAAAATCTTTTACTTTGCTCATATGATTTCTAAAACGTTGCTAGACAATTAGGACTGGCCAAGTTCTATTTGAGCACATTAGCACAACCCAACAGCCATCAGTAGTGCTGTTACTGTATGTCTTTGATATTACTTGTTCCTTCACATTTTAATAGTTTTGTAATAGCAAAAACACATGTCCAACCAGAAGGAATTGGACACCATTTAAAATTATACTTCCCTTACTCTTCATAACCTTTTTGACCAAGAAAGGAAAAAATGCCTTGTTTTAAAAACAAAAAGGATAAAAAGCAAAGGAAATGCAGTTTGGAGGAATAAATCTGTATGTAAAGTTGGTATTGATGACAATAAATAAAAATACAGCTTTATTTCTGGAAAAAAAAACCAACAAACAAGTTTGTCAGCTTTTGTGTAAAAAGAAACGTGTGAAAACTGCATTGATTCTTAAGAAAGGTGTATGGAGCAAGATGTCTGTGCTGTGTACGGATGTGGAGAAATGTCCATATCCACTGTAACAGTACGGCTTTATTCGTAGGCTTTTACCTTGAGCCCCCCATACTGACAGTCACTGAATGCACCTTTCTCACCAGTGTACAGGACTTAGATGATTCCAGTGGATGTTAACCTTAGAGCACTGCCTGACGTATGTAAATACCACAGAGAAGTGTGAGATACAAAAACTGGAGGTAACCACGGAGCCCACGTGTCAGAGATGCTAGTGTAGCCTGTGGGGAATGTTACATAACTTATTTTTTTACTTTGAATATACACCCTTTAACCCAAGCAAAATTAAATCTGTGCCTAATTATTTCTCTGCTCTGTTAATGTACCTCTGCTTGTTCTATGTCAAGGGCAACTCGCAAGCAAATGGTTGCATTGCTCTGAAGTGCTGTCAAGTGTGGCATCTTGTTGAATTGCTCCTGGAGTCAGGAGTGCTGCTCTGCTGCTCCTGCCTGGGAAGCAGGCTGTGCTGCTGCGTGGGCCGTGCCTCCAGCAGGGCCATGAAATGGAGCTGTGCGAGCCTTGGGGGAGCGCCCACATCGTGCCTGGAAAGCAGGGAGGTCAGGCAGAGACCTTGGAAGAGCTGAGTGGGAGATCTGTCCAGAGATGCTGTTCTTCTGTCACCAGTGGGGCCTGCTGATTCTCTGTGCGAGGACAGCTGGTGAAAGCACTTCTACTGGGATAATTATTTCCCGTTCTCCTGTTGGCTTATGCCTCAGCTATTGCTTTTGTTCATCTGCTTCCCATATTATCTCTTCATTTCTTTATGTTGTGTTTTCATTTCTTACACTGTTCTTTTTTAATACTGGGTGGCTGAGCCTCGCTGATGGAGCAGAAGATCCTAGAGATGTGCATTTGGAGAAACTTTCAGCCAAAAAAAGGAGGAGGTTCTCCTGGAGGACTTCACTTACAGGTAAGACTCGCTCGGGACAGAGAGCATCTCTTCCTGTCTTTAACTGGGTGGCTTCAGCTTGGGCACCTGAAATAAAAACATGCTGCTGCTGCTGCCTTTGAAGGACAGTGGCAGAAAACTCTGAAAGGGTTTTTCTTTATTCGTGCATTGTGCATTCTACTTGTGAATTCTGCTCCCAGGGATGGTGGGTTAAAGCAGATGGCAGTGTAGGAGTCTGGAAGAAGCCTGCTACTTCCGAGTATTCCTGCAGGCAGGAGTGCAGCTCCCCCTCCTAGCTGGGTTCTGCAGCAGGTCCTTCGAGCTTGGTGCCACTGGGAAAAGTAGCAAGAGCCCCAGGGCAGTGTTGGGCTGAGAAATCTTTCTGCTGAACAGCACGGGAGGGGGTGCAGGATGTGGCACCACCACAGCAGTAGTTAGCAGCAGTGAGTCTGTACAAGGCGATGCTGTTTGCTATGCTGGGTAGCATCCCTGCCTCGTGGCTGTAAATCTGTACCAGGTTGGGTACCTCTGTTGTTCCTGGTTGAATTAGTGGGAGTATTTTTGGTGACCGTTAGAGCTGAAGAATCGCTCTCTGCTTCATCGCCTGTGTTTATGTGGCTTGTAAGCTCCCTGGAACCAGCTCTGTATGGTTTGAAATTTAGTTGATGAAGGACTTGCATAGGAAAGCGGTGAAGGTGAGTTTTTTTCATTTCTGGCTGCCTTAGGGCTGATGCCAGCCTTTGTTTTTGAGTGAGTAGCAAGAGATACAAAAATGGAGGGAGTGGGGCAGGTGATGCTATGATATGAGACGAACGTGAGCCGTTCAGAAAGGTGCCTGCTGTAAAGGCAGAAATAGTTACACAGGCACAGGGAAATGGCCACGGTCCCTCATATACCATCTGGTTGGCTTCAGTCTTCCCAGGCGTTGGGAAGTTTGTTGGGAGTTTGCTCTGCACCAGCCCTTAGTTTGGTCTGTGTAACTCGATGGTTGTTGCTCGACTGGCTCTTGATTTGGGCAAGTTTTGCACAACAGATGCTTAAGAATCAAGATTACTTGAGCCAGATATACTCTGTCCATACACTCCAAAGGGCCTGTCAGCTCTATCCCTGTGCATGAAATGGAATGACCCCTATCTATCTCTTGCAGTTGGCTTTTTGACATTGCTAAGTAGCAATTACAAGGGTTCAGCTCAGACAGCCCTTTAGGAAAGCTAGCAAGTGTGACTAAGCACAGCTGCAGTGGTGAAAGGCTGCCCTGCGGAAGGCAGAAGGCCTGCCCAGTGAGTGCAGCGTTGTCACACGGATGGGCTAATGCCTTTTTTAAGAACCTATCAGACTGTCTTAATTGTGCAGCCAAGGAGCAGTACCTGCTTTTGTCAGATGCCAGTGGTTTTCATCACGTTCTCCCCTTCAAAAGTATGACTCTCATGTCAATTAGTTACTGAGCCTTGTCAGCTACTGTCACTAACACACTATTGCAGGCTTTTTTGCAACAGCTTACTCCCAGGAGCGCTGTCCTGAGCTTCCTGCAGGTACCTGTTTTTCCATCTCCTTGTGAGCTGATCCAGGCCTGTTCTTCCTCCATCTGAAGGGCTCATGTTGTACCTCTGCACTGTGAACACACAGCTCAGCCCAAGCACAGCTCCTGCCCCAAACATTTGGAAGCACGCCCCAGCTTTGGTGGTAGATGTTTGCACACAGCCTGAGATGCCTCCTGCTGCCTCAGAATAACCACAGTTACACACCTCTTGCCTATTTATACAATAAGCATTAAGGTTACACTTTATTTACAAGTTTTGAAAAATGTACAGTTTCTTACATGGGTTACTTGTGCAAAGTTATACTTCTTAACTAACAGACCAATGTGCACACAAAAGACACTGGAACATTGGACAACACAATTGTAGGTTTCATCCCACACTGCTGCTTTAGGAACTGTATCCAAATGTACAAACTTAGCCGTACAAAAAAGAGTCTGGACTTAACAACTGTTTTCTCAGAGTTGAAAAAATACTTTGATAAAATTGAAGAGAAACTAACTCAAGCATGCAGCAGTAGCTCACATAAACCACAGTAAACTACAAAGATTGGGAACTGCAGAGACTGAAGTGCCTACCCCATACTTTATTCAAACTTTCCTCGAGGCAAAGCTGGATACCCAATAACTTATCTTTCTCAGGTAAAGATAAGGGGAGGGAAGAAGACACTAAAAGGAGAATAATTCCACCTCTGGAACACTTCAGGTTTTACCCCTTCCTTAATACGGAAGGGCTGTAACTCAAGAGTACCGCAGCTCTATCTGCTGTTGTCCAGTAACACCTCAGTAACAGGACTACAGGACGTCAGTGGAGCAGTCTCCATGGGCATGTCCCTTAACACACTACTTTACTTTAAAAAAAAAAACAAAGAGGTTTTATTTCTCACCCCAAGTAAAGATCAAAGTACCACACCTGAAGCGATTTATGTATATCTGTACATAAATCTCCCCTGTGAAGTGCAGAAGTGACTGGCGTTCTTACAAACTAGTTAAGACCTGGGAAACCAATGCAAATGAAGAAAAAAACATCTTCACTCAGTACTTACAAATGCAGTGGGGTCTAAACCAATAGTAAACGACCAGCCTGGACAGATCAGCACTTTAGTAATATCAGTTAAAAAATGTGTATGTATATAAACATCCCTTTTGTCAAGCTACACATAAGCATCACTGTGTATAACACAATTACAATTAAAAGCTTAGTGTACACTACAGAAATGCACAATACTGCCCTAAGACTGGAGAGGGACCACAGAAAATGAATTCAGCGTCAGTAATTCTTTTGCAAGTAACCCAAGTACAGTACATTTGACTTCAAAGTGGGTGCTTTATTATGTCCAAGGAGAAGAAGCTTCAGCAAGGGAGGGTGGCAACGGCACAACAGCTATTCTGCTTTCAAAGTAAATGCAGTGATGCTAGGATGAAGATGACTCAGACACCTCATATACTTTCCTCATCACCAGAGTGTTCATTTGCATCATCCTGGGTCAACAATCACGCCAACTCTGTTCTACTATTGCAGAAACCCGTTTCTCATATTCCCGCTTGTTCTCTTGGTATAGTTGAGCTGCCTGGCTGTTTGCTGGACTGTTGGGATTTGGCTCATCCAACAGAGACTGCACAAAAAGAAAAAAGATGCTCAGACACGTGGACGTACACCGTTCCTGCAACGTATTCTCTACACTACCCGTGTTAGCAAGGGGGCAGAAGTTCATCCAGATAAGGGCAGGGCGCCCTGCGTTGCCCCAGCTGTAAGTTACTGCAAGCTTTCGGCCGTGCAATCCAGAGCTGGCACCTCCAGCAACCTCTGTGCAGCTCTAAGGCTGGTTAATTTACACACAGTAAGTATTCACACCTAAAAATATATCAACATTTAGCTCCTTTACCGGCTCTGAGGAGCCAACAGTGCTTTTCCTGAGTTGTTTTTTTTTTTTTTTTTTAAAAAAAAAAAAAAAAGAAAGCATCCTAATTTCATTCTGCCTTTTCATGCAGGGATCTTTTTTACCTGTATGGATGTTAAGATGGAAGAGACATCGTAAGTAGGACTCCAACGATTCTGAAGAATATCCAGACATATACTACCATCTGCATAGACTAGAAAAGGTTCAAGAAGAATGGCTTAAAACAAATTGTACAGCTGCTCAGTTTTTCCTAGCATTGTCTGATCCTGAAAACCCATACACTGACAAACAGGACAGAAGCCAGAACTGTGTGGCAGACTGAACTCCAACAGACAGGCCTGCATGTAGGAGATGAAGCTTGTCACTGGCAGCTGCCTCAAGCATTCAAGCTCAAACCCTGCTTATTCTTCAATGCCAAGCTTCTCTGTGACACTGCAGCCACCGCTATGGAAAGATGAAACCACCGAGAGACTGAAGGCAAAAATGTTCAGCTTTCCACATGTGATCCAAATAAGGAGCACTAAAAAAAGAGCTGTTTACATACAAGGTTTCCCCAGAATATATCTACAGCACCAATGCCTAGTCTCATGACAGCTGTACAAAACCTTCCCTCAGTGCACTGAGCCCACGCAGGCTTACTTGCTATGTGAATGCAGCTTACTTAGCTATCTATACCTGATAAGGTGCAGGTGTGCATGAAGCTGGTATTCCTCTGAGAAAAGGAACCAAGGGAAGGGACTGATTCAGTGATTTACTGGCTGCAGTTGGAAACCAGTACTGCATTTCAAGGTATAGCATTCATACAGGCCCCCAGTTGTATGAAAAAAATGACAGAAGACAACTGCAATCACAAGTGTAATTATGTACATGTATGTATAGAGAACAGCAAATAACTTGAAAAGTTCAAGTTCTCTCTTCTGTCACATGTATCAGCAGACAGCTGAAAGAGGAGCCTTGCAAAACAGTGCTGCACCACCTGCAGGCTAGGAAGCATCTTCTACTCATCCCAAGACTGAGCACAGCTCACACAGTCACCTACACAGAAGCACACTGGAACTGTGCTTATTAGATAGTGGAAACTCTTATAATAAAAGTCTACTTCTACAGCACTTACAGAAAGCTAAATTAAATGTACTGTGTGAATACTTACCATTTGGATGAAACATTTTAGAGACAAATCTAACAGTAGGTGGCTTATTTGGATATTCTTCTGTGAATTCTATTGTAAGTTTGAATGTTCCTGGAGTTGAAAAAGAAATACATTAGCTTTATTTGGAACAAATTTACATGAGATGACCAAGAAGCATTCCTATATAGTCATCAACTGATAGAACTGTGCTTGTAAATCCATTGCTGGGCACGGAATGCAGACTGCTGAGTCCTACCCTGGTACTTCTCTCTGCTATGGCAGTCCCTCCTGCCAATGCTAAAAGGTGCTTAGATTCAAAGGATTATTTTTTTTTTAATCAGGTAATGAGATCACAGTGTTAAGCAAGCAGTATTGCAAGCAGCATTCTTACTAGAGATTCTAAACAACAATCTGGCCACTGACTTCAGGTTAGCTACCCTTCTGCTGGGAACGGCTGCTGAAGTCCCAGCCCAACCAGTCTTAGCAGTGCACCAACCTGACTGATTTTAGCCCTTCTCTCCAGGCTGTGGCAATCTGACAATCAGCAGTCTGACACGTAAGCAGCCCAAACATGGGTGTGAAGGACTGAGCACTGCTAGTGACCTCTTCACTCTGCCACCACACTGCAGGTGCTGGGATATGAAGTGCCTATGCAGCCCAGGGACACCCGAAGCACCTTTGTACAAACACAGCTCTCCTGTGGGAGGAGCACACCAGACCCTACACTAACAGCCAGGCAAGCTGCTCAGCAGGTGTACCACCTGGCTTTGAAGAGGTGGTCTGACACCATCAGGGACAGCGTCCCTGCCCCCACTCAGTGCCCAAAAGAGAATTCAGGGGCTCAGACACAAAGCTCATCCTCGCTTCCTGCTGGGACTTTCCTGGCACTAGCTATGGCTGTTCCCTCATTTGTCTGGCAAGCATACCAACAGCTGGTAGCCAAAGAACAGATTTTTGACCCCTTTTTACAGACCAGTACGGAACTGCAGGAATTACTGGGGATTCCTTCTTTGCAAGGCTGTAAACTATAACAAAGGTCATTGCTCTGATGTTCCAGTTTGCACACTAAGTCAGTATGGATGTCTGACAGCTTTCTGTGCAGCTCAAAGTGGAACAGTTTCTGCGCAGTGGGAAGTCTCAGCTGCCTAAAAACAAGTTTTTGCCTGTTGGCTATTTTTATTAGCAGCCCAAAAACGTAAGAGCACAGAGCCAACAGCATGCCATCCTACTGGAAAGCAAAGGAACAATAAGAACATTACAGTTTTCCAAACAAGAGAAGTCTGTGCATTAAGATCACTCAATGAAGCAGAAGCCTGCGATGAGGCTACTGAGTTTTACTCTTGCTAATCCAGGGGCACAGAGACAGATTTGAGACCAGCCTGAAAAACAGGCTAGAAAGTCTGTAACAAACTGCCAGCTGCAGACATCCCCCAGACCTCCATTCCCCACAAGGCACAACCCTGGTGATGGGAGAGCTTTAGAACCAACCAAACATGGGAGGAACTCCCAAGTACTGTTTCCCAGCTCTGGTTTGCAGTACCCTCTTCAGGAAGTACTGAAGCAGGCACTACTGTGGAAGACTGACCAAGCAAGCAGTAGGGTACAAATCAAGCTCAAACCTTCAAATAACAAAGTTCAGTAAATTTACTCAAGAAAAGGAACGTTATTTTAGAACACCCACTGAAGCAAAAGGAGACAGATAAGATGGCCAAAGAACAAATCAAGGGCAGTCTGGTCTTAGAATCCATTTAAAACAACTACAAATGGGGAAGCCACCCGTCTCACTGGGGACAGGACAGCATTACTTTGAGTGCCAACCCGAGTGCGTGGCGGGGCAGCCTCCAGCTGCAGTATCTCCCGACTCAAGTCAGGATCCCAAGCAGCAATGGCTCTTTGAAAGAAGTCCTGCAGCATGCTCACTGCTGAGCTCTGTTAGCAGACAGTTCCAAGGACTCGGTGAACTGCAGCCCGGGGTCACTCACACAAATAGGACGGGTGTGACAACAACACACTGCTGGGACGAGTCCCTCATTGTCCACAGCATCACCAACCTTACAGCTTTCAACTCGCCATCCTTCCAACCTGTTCTTGACAGCCAAGTTTACAACAAAGGTTTTTGTATTCGCTGTCATCCTACAAATGCTGGGATCATCTTGCTCCCAGAACATTCCCACGTCTGTTCTGCGCTTACCTCGTCCATCTGTTTCTCCTGCCTCAGCTCAGAGGAGCCTCCTCCAAGCCCCGTGCCTGGCCCCGCAGTGCCCACAGCCCTGCCAAGCCTCCACATCAGCACCCATAACGCAGTGACAGCCCTGCCTCCCCCACCTGAGGATACTGACCCCATATTCCTTTGGTAATGGACAAGCCATACTGAGGGCAAATGCATTGCTTTCTCTGTTCAAGCTGCCTGCACGATGACAGGAAGACAGGATACTGCAGTAGCTATTACTTAACTCTCCTCACGCCAGGAATCCTGCGCTAACCACAGCATCAAAATTCAGCTTCAGAGAAACGGGTCTGTAGAGCTTGGGGGAGCTTGGGTTTCCATCACAGGGGCAACATGACCCGTTCACATGCCACAAGCACAACAGATTCTAAGAAATATGGTAAAGGCAAGATAAACATCCTTGAGGTCCTACTGCAGACATCTGCAACTCAATGCTTTCAAAGCAGGAAATGGAAGTTTTGCTGCTGATCTAAATTAGCAGTTGCTCACAGGCCAAGTCATCCTTCAGTTGAGAAGACACCTCGAATGTCTGGAGGTGGAAGGGAGGGAGGGTTGTTATCAGCATTTTGAACAGCACGTAAACATGCATTTGAGCTTAGGGCTTTCAGTTCAGGCAAAGCTATGAAAGCTCAGAAGCTGAGACTGAAAAAGGGACTCACCAGTACAAGGATGAAGAACAGCAGTTCCCACCATGCTGAAATTATTAAAGCTACAACAACTGACATTTTTCACAGCCTACTTTCACAACCTGAAGTCTTACCCAGGAGGGACAGAGACTAGAAACAACAATACAGAGGTGCACCAGTGTACCTTGGATCCACAAGAGCATGAACAAAACAAGCCCCAATAACAGCTCCACACTATAAATAAAAGTCTTCTTAATTTTAACTACACTGAGCTCAACTGCATCTGAACTGTGCTACCACCTGTCCTCTCACTGAAGGGAGAGAGCAGAGCAGGCATCAGCAGTGCCATATCTCTGGGCTCCATCCAGCATTTGTTATCTAGCACAACATAAAGTACGTCCCAGAGAAACAGTGACAAACATGATCTGCTTTCCTGAGAGTGCACTGTGAAAAACACTGCTAAGAAAACAGCAGTTCATCACCCACCAAGATTGTAAGATCAGCCAAAGCAATAGGACAGCAGTAGCATAGGCAAGTGGACTTCAGGCTGTTGCAAGAACAAGGTGCCACAAGTTTTCAAGATAAAGGCACAATGCTACCCAAGCACAGACAAAAATCAAACCAGCACAGATCTGTAAAGCAGCCTCCAACCTTCTGCAACTAGGTGGAAATATATGGGAAAACAACCATTATGCTACCTGTTAAACTCACGTTGTACTGGAAGAGACTGACCACAGCAACAACCTGTGCTTTACCACACTGCAGGGAGAGCCTCTCTGCCCCCAGTCAGCAGATTGCTGGGAGAAGCAGAGCAACAGGAGGCCAGGCAGCAGAAGCAACCCTCAGTGAAGTTTAAGGGAACCCTCAACCCTAAGCTTTCCTATCTATTGCACAGAGGTTGGCCTAAATAACCTTTAAAGGTCTCTTCCAGCTCAAACAATTCTCTAAGAAAGATAACAGAATGTATTTGGTCTACCAGCTTTATGTACAGTGTTATGGAACATGGAAGCTCCAAACAGTAGTGCTCTGAAAAGCTCCTCCAGCAGGATTCTTAACTAATCAATTAGAAGTATTAACTGTAGATTTTGGAGTTTTTAGGCCTGAAATACTTAAAATATATTAAATCCTCACAGAAAACATCTGGATTTTCAGATGCTCACCCAATGATAAACAAGCAGCTAGTCAAGAACGATGTAAGAGTTGAGAAGTTTTGATTATATTTTTGGCATGAGTCACAGAGATCTAGGATTAATTACAGACTGCACCCGAAGCATCTTAAAAAATGTATCCTTGATTTCATTCAGACAGCATTTCACATCTAACAAGGTCTCACAGTGATGCTGAAGTGTTCACAACATCAGTAAGGCTGTAAGAGGCATCGAGGCCAAACTGAAGCTGCCTAGAGAAGGCCTGGGTCAGAGTCTGTGGAGGCAGCTATAGAAACTAAAAGCTGCTTTCAACCTTTAACCCTGGGTACCACCGACTGCAGCTGAACAGAACAGATGCCAACACAGAATTCCATTCGCACAGGACTTACGGGCAAAGCACCGAAACGTCAGAAGGAACGTATCTCAAATGATGGCACTTTGACAGCAGCCGTACACCGGGCTTTGGGCTGTGCTGCACGTATTGCTGTCCCCTCCTGAACACACCCCGGGGCACTGGGCCGTGCTGGACTCCCTCAAACCTCGCTCTCACCCCCCCCGGCTCCAATCCTGCTGCCGTGACGCCCACCCTCCACCCCGCAGCCACACTCACCGTCCTCGAACGGGGTTCCCTCGGGCCTGCGGGGGAAAGAAGCAGAGCACAGCGTTACGGCGGCGCCCGGCCGGGCCCGCGCCCGCCCCCCGCCGCTCGGCACTCACCCGAAGATGACGGCATTCCACACCATGATGTTGTTCTCGGAGGGAGCCCCGCTCACCCCGGCCGGGGGATCCTCCTGCAGCCTGCGGGCACAGCAGTGCGGGCTCAGCGCGGCGCCCCCCCGACCCGCCCCTGCGCATTCGGCGTAGCCCGGGAGGAGAGCCGGACGCCGCTGCGCAAACGGCGTAACCCGCCGCGGGCGGCGCGGCCCGGCGCTACGCAATCGGCGGAGCGCGCCCTGCCCCGCCGCCATGTTGTGCGGCCCCCTCCGCGCCCGGCGGCCCGAGCCCCGCACCCTCTCGCCCCCCCCGCTGCCCCTCCACCGGCGGCCTCGGTACCTCTTGAAGTCTCGCATGAGGCGCCTACGGGCCGGAGTGGACATGGCGAGTCGGGGTTACGAATCACTCATACACCGCCGGAGGGAGGACGGGGCGCCCGGGAACGGCGGCGAACTCCGACCGAGGCGGCGGCGATAGCGAACGGGAGCGGCCGCGGCCTCTACCTCTGAGGCGGGGGCGGGGCGAGACCCCGGGCCGCACCGATCCCTGCGCCTGCTGCCGGGCGATCCCGGCACGTACCAACAGCCGCGGGAGGGGGGGGAGGCGGAGCCGGATACCGCGGTGCCGCGGCCCCGCGCCCCCCCACCGCGGGAGAGGGGGGGGGGGGGGGGCCCCCGGGGCCCGGGCCCGTCCCAACAGCACCAGGGGGGGGGGGGGGCAGCAGAGCCCGTGACGTCACGGGGAAGATGGAACCGCCTTCCCCAGCGGCTGCGCTGGTGGGTCGGGCCGTGAGGCGGGAATGCGGGAGGGCCCGGCGGGGGCGCTTCGGGGCGGGGCTGCGCGCCCGATCTGCGTGAGCGCGGCGGCTCTGGGGGAAACGGGCCTGCGCTGCGTGTGTAACGGAGCTCAAGAGCAAACAGCTTCTGTCTCTGCCGGTGGGGGTGTTAGGTGCGGCCCATCTTCCTCAGCTTCACCCTCACGCTTCATCTGCGGACGGGCTAAGGAGAGCCCGGCCTGCCCGTGCCGCCGTTCCTGTTCCCCTCTCCCTCCGCACTGTGGGCAGTCCCGCCGACTCGGGCGACAGCTCAGAGCTGCCGGAAATCGTGCCAGAGCTACCGGAAGTCGTGCCGGAGCTACCGGAAGTCGTGCCGGATCTACCGGAGGTCTCGCGTAGACTGCGCCTGCGCGCTGGCCTCAGAGCTCCCCGTCCCCCGCCGTCGCCATGCCGAAGGTGGTATCGCGCTCCGTCGTCTGCTCCGACACCCGCGACCGCGAGGAGTACGACGATGGCGAGAAACCGCTGCACGTCTACTACTGCCTGTGCGGGCAGATGGTGCTGGTGCTGGGTGAGCCGGGCGGCCGGGGGCGGCGGGCGGGGCCGGGGGAGGTGCGCGGGGCGGTGCCGCTATCCTGGTGGTCTCCTGCCCGCAGACTGCCAGCTGGAGAAGCTGCCCATGCGGCCGCGGGACCGCGCCCGGGTGATCGACGCCGCCAAGCACGCGCACAAGTTCTGCAATGCCGAGGAGGAGGAGACCGTCTTCCTGCGCAGGTTGGCGCGGAGCGGCCGGGCACGGGGGGACCCGCCGGGGTGGCTCGGCGTGGCCGTGACGTCTCCTGTCTCTCCCGCAGGCCCGAAGGCATAGAGCGGCAGTTCAGGAAGAAGTGTGGCAAGTGAGTGAGTGGTTTCCGTTGGTAACTGTTAGCTGGTCTGCTGACTACAAGAGTCTAGAACCCGGGGTTGCTCACGGCAGGATGGGCTTTTATTTCCAGGTGTGGATTACTGCTTTTCTACCAGCACCAACAGAAGAATGCGCCGGTGACTTTCATTGTCGATGGTGCTGTGGTCAAGTTTGGACAGGGCTTTGGGAAAACCAACATATATACTCAGAAGCAAGAACCTCCCAAAAAGGTAATCCGCTCTAGAAGTTTCTGAAAGGGCTGTCTCCCCTTTTCAGCATGCTGTGAGTGAAATCACATATTAAGGAAGAAAGAAGAATGAAATGGACCTGCGAACCGTAACTCAGTTCTGGGTCTTCTCCCTCTTTGCCTTAAGTTTAGTACTGCAGAGGTTGCTGCATCTGGAAGTCCCAGCACAAAGAAAGCAAAAGAAATTTGGAAATGTGGACTTTGCCTTATTTTGAAGCTTAGTCACCTGAAAGCCTCCATTTGTGAATAGGTCAGATCAGTAATAGGTGTGGCAGTTCTCAAAATTTGGCCTGAAGTGTCAGTGAGTTTGATTCTGATAATCACATCGCTAATTCCAGAAACTGTTGAGGGTGTTTCTTTGCCACCAGCTGAGTTCAGGTGATCTTAGTGACTTGCATGAGAAACCTTAAAAGCCTTGGAGGAGGAAATAACCCATAATCTCAAGACTTTTCCCAAGTTTTAACAAAATGCTTTGCTTCTTATCTAGGTGATGATGACCAAACGGACCAAAGACATGGGCAAGTTCAGCTCTGTTACTGTTTCCACAATCGATGAAGAAGAGGAGGAGATCGAAGCAGTGAGTTTTGTCTGCCCTTGGTGGCAGTCGTGCCAATGCTCAGAGCTGGCATCTCACTGTTTTGATGAGGTGTTGATGTTCAGGGTTTGCTATTGCAAAGCGATGCTGTTTGTGTTTCAGAGGGAGATTGCAGATTCCTATGCACAGAATGCAAAAGTGATTGAGAAACAGCTGGAACGCAAAGGAATGAGCAAAAGAAGGCTACAGGAGTTGGTGAGTGGTTTGTTTTTAGTGATGAACACAAGTCCATTAGAACTGTTAACTTTAACAGACAGGAGAGCTTTTGCAGGGAGATTTGCACAGCCTGTTGTTCAGGGAACACAGACTGGGGGGACCATGCTGAGGCTCAGCCAGTCGGAGCATCTCTAATGCTGTGCTGCCAAGCATGCTGGACAGAGCAGGTCCTTACCTTGAGGTGTCAGGGCAGGCCAACAGCTACCAGCACAAAAGTGTCCTGAAGAATTAGCAGCAAGAACATCACAGCTGATCTTACCTGCTGTGGCAGGAGAGTTGTAGATGGAGGGGAGAAAAGTGTGCAGCTTCCATCTCAGGATGGGGGCCTACAGGACAGCTGGGGAGGGACTTCTTATAAGGGTAGGTTGCAGCAGGGCAAGGGAATGTGGTTTTAAACTGGAAGAGTGTAGATTTAGACTAGATATTAGGAAGAAGTTCTTTACTATGAGAGTAGTGAGACACTGGAAAAGGTTGTCCAGAGGCTGTGGATGCCCCATCCCTGGAAGCATTCAAGGCCAGGCTGGATGGGGCTGTGAGCAGCCTGCTGTCATGGGAGGTGTCCCTGCCTATAATAGCAGGGGGTTGGAAAGAGATGATCTTAAAGGTTCCTTCAAAGCCAAACCAGTCTGTGATTCTATGAAATGGTCACCTGTGCAGTTAGACTTGGACATCTTATGACTTTAAAGGCAGTCCCCTTGTACTGTAGGGGAGGAGGGAGTCAGTAAAGAACTGAGTTACTCTTGTTTCTGGTGTGAGAAGCTTGTGATGTTAGGATAAGAAAGACACAACTCACTGGAGCACTAAAAGGAAATGTTCTGAGATATCATGTCATAATTTTCTTAGGCTGAGTTGGAAGCCAAGAAAGCCAAGATGAAAGGAACACTGATTGATAACCAGTTCAAATGAAGCACTCCACATCTGCTGTGTCTTTGGAGACAAATGAAGCGACCAGAAACTATGCAGGTCTGTCAGCAAAGACAGCATTCAACAAGCTTGGAAGATGACTCTCTCTCCGGTGTAGTTGGTACTCTGCTATGAATTTCAGTACTTGGAACAGCACTAGAAACCTTGTGGAAACTGAATCTCTACACAATGGCAAGCTGTTGCAGCCAGAAAATCTTTGCTGGGTGCCTTTGTGAGTTCAGTGCACTTTTAAGTACTTGTCTTTTCATTTTGATGGTTTTGAAATGTGTAAGAAACCCATAAATGTATTAGACAGGTCAACTGTATAGCAAAATCATTACAGAAGTGAGCTTTGTTCACTGGGATAATTTAAAATGCATCCAAAACATGCAGCATTCTTAGAGGCGTGCCATTTCAGGGCAGGCTGGAATGGCTCAGGAGGTTTGGGGCTACGAGCAGCAGGCAGGCTGTTGCAGGTAACCAGTACATGCTTGGCCATGGCTCTAATTCTTAGCCACTGTTGAACACTGGAAAACTGCAGCTGTATGGAATTACACTGATGGCTATGGGAACATGAAATCCAGCCCTGTTTTATACTGCTGAAAACAAAACCTGCCAGAGTATTACACCTCCCAGGAGTATAAATGTGTTGCTGGAAAGTACTGATGTGACTGCTGATCATTGAAAGCAGAGTTCACTTGCATCTCTGAATTCAGCAGCTGTTGGAATTGTAGAACAAGAAGAAAACTGTTTTCAATACATTGACACTTAGAGACTTGGACAAAGACAATGTTAAGAATCGCTGCATGAAATAACTTGTTTGGGAAACAGGTTTTTTTAATCTTATGTGATGTAATAACAGTGGTCCCTAGCCTGTGTCACTGTTACTTGGGATTAAATGCCATTTAGTGGATCTGAACTAAAATACTTTTCCTGGGGTGTTCTTACTCTCCTGCATATGACAACATGGCAGCTAAGCAATATACAAAATGCTTCCTTTCACACAGTTCTTACGAAAGATTCTTTATAATCAATATAGGTTTTCCATCTGACTTGATAACCTTAAATGGGAAAACTTGGATCTGCTTAGATTAAGGATGCATACCTCTTTCCTTGGGAAGATAGGATGGGAAGGTGAGAAAGAGCTGCTGCAGAGCAGGCAGCCTGGATGAGGGATGTCTGGGTCAGCTCTGGAAGGCAGGGGCCTGCGTGCTGATTTAATGCCAGGTGGGGTAAGCACATATTCAAGTTAACTTGAGCAGTGCTGACCTTATTCAGTGCTGATCTTCAGCTAATCCAAAGTCTATTTCTAGAGCAATCATAAGGTAGTGGATGTGTAATAATTGGGAAGGGGATGAGAGGGTGCAGTCTTACCCAGAACATTGGAGCTGCCCAAGCCCTAAAGAACGTGAAGCTGGTCTCCCTCTGCCAAGGAAATGTTTTTCCAGGATCCAGAGAAAGGGCAGAAGAAAGATTTCATTCTTATACGAAGTGCTGCTGAATTCATCTGCCTGCTCTCTTGGAATTAGGTTTACTTTATGGCTAGCACCTGTATTTTAATGTCTTTATAAATCCAATTTTTTTTTCCGAGTAGGAGCCAGAGATGGACACTAGCTTTGAAATTTGAAAATCAGTGTTGAACAGTGTGAAGTCTTCTGGGATGCAAACTTCACTGTCTGCAGTTGTCATAAACGATGAGGTGTGGCTCTGCTTCGAGACAGTCCAAGAACAAAAGTCCACTGTAGACCAGTGTTATTTGTGCACCTTCCTGCAGAATCACAGGAGCTGACTGCTCGAGTGTGTTGTTGGTTTGGGTACCAACTGTTAACCCTGGGTTCTCCCTAGACCTATAGCTGGGGTGTGAGTTGGATAGGGTTGGGAGTGGAGAACTGCCAGTGGAAGTGGGGCTGCCAAAGCCAGGTAAGCAGCAGGGAAAAAACAGAAAAGAAAAGAAAAGCCACCCTCTCCTAAGAACCTGTTAAATATAGTGGTTTTAAGTCTGGGGTTATGAGTCAGCCAACAGTTCAGTAAAGTTCAGATTTGGGGTTAAGGCCAGGAGTGACGAAACACAGGACTTCAGCCAAAGTGTGAACAGGATCTGCTGGCGGGGCTGGGAAAGTCTGCAATTTGATGAGGCACAAATAAATCCTGGTGACCAGCGGCTCAGCGCAGGTTGTCCAGAGTAGCTATTAATGCTGTCATCGATTTCTCCAGCTGCAAATCTCAGGCCTTAAAGGCAGTGTTAGCAGCACAATAAAAGTACTCTTTCTTTCTCACTTTTAAAATACCAGGCCATGCACATCAGGTGTTTGTTGCCTTTTTGTAATGACAGCTGTGCCTCCCTCATCTCAGGACTCTCACAGACTCAAAAAGAGAACTGAGCATTCTGCCAACCTCACTGACTCTTGGTATTTTTAATGCAGTAGTTGCACAACGTGTGGCTGGAACATCTACAGAACAGAGACTGACACTGTACGTTATTAAACATGCATTTCTGAACGAGTCTAACTCCATCTAGGTCACAACGATTTAAATCAAGCTGAAGTTGCATTTCTAGAGCTAAATGAGCTAAAAGATGTTATCTGACAACAGCAACAGGAAGCAGGGGCTCCTACTTCCTCAATTCCTCAATTCAGAACAAAAAGCACCTTAGCAGACTAAATAGCTGTTCTGTACAGTTTCTTACACCCAAGCAGTAAGCAGCAGTGTTGAGATCAGACAAAGGATGGATTTTGTGCTCCCGCAAAAGCTAGCCTTAGTTTTTATGTCTGTGTAAATACAGGTAGGTAACAGTGGTTTGTTTTGGTGGTGGTTGTTATTGTTTAGCTGAGCTTTTCTGTAAGAACTTGTCTGGATGTGGAGGTACTGCAAGGCAGCATGTGAATTAAAAATGGAGGAGCAAATCTGTTCTAAAAGTAATGTCACAGGTGGCCAATTTCAACACTGATGTGTTTCATGGGTTTGTCTAGTCCAATTTCCAAGAGCCTTAGGAGCAACATGGTCTGAGTTGCCGTGTTGGAACAGTTCTGCGTGAAGTAATGCTGCCTTATTCCTTATAATGTGTGAAATAAAACCCCACAGTTTGTAAGCACTGAGCAGAGGCAGTAACCAGAATTGCTGGTGTTAATTGCAGCTGTACCCGGGAGCCAGGTCCCCTGCCACCACCCTGCATGCTGGGGTGCCAGGCAGCACTCGAGCTTGCTGGCATTTTAAAACTGCGCACGTTGCTGGGTTTGAGCAGCAGCAGCAGTGCCCACTGTGGGCATGCAGGGGTGGTGCACGCCAAGTGGGTGCTAAACATGGGCAGTACCCTTCAGCATCCCCCACAGGAGGTAAAAGAGTAACTGGGGAGCCCAGCAAGCTGCAGTGAGTGCTATTCAGCCCAGAGGCAGCCCCAGGGGCAGCTATGGGACTGGGCACCACACAAAGCTCAGCCTCAGAGCCTGAAGGAGGCAAATTGTTCTGGAGCTATTAAAGTTTGCCTTGGGCTGTGTGGTAGCCAGTACACAGCTTGCTATGACTCCCTGGACTGTTGCAATGGATATTTATAAATGCACTCTACCTTTTTGGGGTGACATGGTGAGTGGCTGTGTAACAGTGCTGGCAGATCAGCCTAAGCCCAGCTACATTCAGCTTCTGACATTGTTATCTGAGACCCGTTGGGCTGCACTGGCAACCTCCAGCCCACTTGTGGCAGCCATCCCATCACCGAGGCCAGCCCTACCACTATGTCACCAGGGCCTGGCCGCTGCTGTGCATACCAAACCTGATTTGCTCACCATCTCTGCCCACAGGACACTACCTTTGGGTGGATGCCGCGGTATTGATTTTCTCTGTGTGACCTAAAGCCACCTCTTCCCCTGCTCCTGTGACCCTTCTCCCTGCCCAGGACAAGCCACACGCTGAGCTGCTGCCAGCCCTCTGCGCCATGCAGCACCTGCCCCAGCTGCTAGCAAATATTTACCACCACCCTGTGGGCAGCCTGCCTGTGTCAACAGCTCATCAGTCAGGATTTACAGCTGCCTGCAGGGGCTGAGAGGAAAGCAGCCTTGCAGGAGCTCAGCCACCACGAGCCACCAGCAAAGGAGAAGCAGAACAATATTTCTCACAGGAAAACATTGCTTATAAAGAGGATCCTGCAAGAACAAGGATCTTGGCCCTCCTGTGACATGCTCCCGTGGGCAGCAGAAGCAGGGCCTGGCTTCCAGCCCACCTGCTGCCACCAGGAAAGGAAATGTTCCAAAAGATCCAGGGGGCTCAGCAACACAGAGCAATAACCTCAGCGAGCCCTTTGTTAATTAGCAAGGTGCTCCCCAGCTTGGCTGCCTGGTGGCCACTTCGGAAGACGCAGCCCACCATGGCTCACATGAAAGCTCAGCCTGTTTCCACCTCAGGAGCTCAAGGACAGCTGGAAAGCAGCAGGCGAGGCTCTTGCAGACCTGCATCTCCACTGGCACACAGAGCCCTGCACCAACCAGTGCCACCGTCCTCGCACCCCAGCAGCACCCCACACACCCATTCACGCTGACCCAACCATGCTGGCTGTGAGCAGCTCGTGCTGCACTTGTGCTCAGCAGCCCCAGTTCTATTTCAGCAACAAAAACTACTGCCCTTTGCCACACAAGTCTGTTTACCTGCCTCAGACAGTGGCTGAGATCCGTTTTGATGATTGGGATCAACCGCTTCAAGCAGGTCTGAGCAGCCAGAGGAGCAAAGAGCAGAGGCAGCATAGTCAGCCCAGTGCAGCCTCCACACTGAGCTGACAGCTGTGTTCTGGTGGCTTGCAGTACCCAAGGAGTCTGGACAAAAGCCAAGCCACACACATTCCCGAGTCTCACTGCGTTTTCCCCAAATTGCCCCATCAGTACGAAGGAATTTCCACCAAACTTGAGACTAGGAGAAGCTTAGCTTGATGGTAAGCAGGCAGTGGGCCTGCAGAGCTATCTCCCACCCGGGCAGGCCCAGCAGGTGCACAGGCATCATCTTCAACCCAGCAGCACAACACCTCCATGCAAGGACAAGTCTAGCCGGGGGCTTTGAAGAAAGAACAGCAATTACCCACACTTATTTTCTCTGGCTGGGTTTTAGCATGTTCAAGTAGGGAGTTCAGTTTCTAAGCTAGAACACACGATGCTGGCTCTGCTTTTCCAGACTGCTGTGGATACTCCTTAATACATTCCTCTGGTCTCCCAGATGTTTAGTCCAATTGGGACAGTTGGTGCTTCGCAGGAAAAGGTTCTGGCACTTGGCATTTTGAAAAAGAGCTTTCATCATCCCCAAGTGGCAGACAGCCCCAAGGCAGGTCTGGTGGCACAAAGCTAGTGCGTGCCCCTTAGTTACTACCAGCACTCACTGCTGACCTCCTCCAAGAAGGAAACACTTTCTCAGCAGGCTGCACTGCATTCATGTACTGCAGCCCACAGCAGTGCATCATGCAGGGAGGGCTTCATCTTCCCCTTCCACAATCACTGCACAGAGAGCCCCGGCCCCTCACATTGCAGCTGCTACGAGAACAACCACAAGACGAGTAAAGCTGGCGTCAGATTTTTATTTCTTCGTACTCTTTAAACAGGAGTGACTGAAATAGAAACCACGTTTGAGTCCCAGCAGTGGGAATGATTTGATAAAGATGGGGCAGGAGGTTGTCCCTACCCCATGCCAACCTGTATAAATATCATCCGTTACTGTTAGTAACTAGACAGTTTTCATACAAGTCCATGAATGGTCATAGATAACATTACAACATGCCAGTTCAAAACAAGAAATAACTTATGTGTACTTCTTAATTTCGTCATACAGAACTAAGACAAAAGCACCACCCATTCCTCGGAGCACATTCGACCAGGCACCTTTGAAAAACGCCTTGGAGCCCTCGTCCCGGGCGATCTTCCGCCAGCAGTCAATAGTGCCAGAGTACATTATGTC